GAAAGCAGTTTGGTGGTCTCTTATAAAACAAAATCTGAAAGAAATTACCAGGAAAAATGGAAAAGAGGAAACAAAAAAACCCTCCAAAAAGCTAAGTACTAAAGACAGTTTTCCTTCAAGTTATTTGCCAATCCCAGAGAGTCTGAAGTTTCATTGTGAGAACTCAGCTATTTCAGGGAAAAAAAAAAAAAATCAGCCCAGAAACTGCCAAGGGCAGTTACGAGATTTTAAAAAGAAACCTTTTCCATGATTAACTGGGCTCCTGAAATTCTACACAACTCCCAGTGAAGCAATCAGAAACAGAGCAGCCTTTGTGTCAATCTGTCATCTAGGTTTGTATTGCCTACAAGGTCCCTGGGAACCTCAATCAGTGAACAAGACATATAATGTCAATGTTATCCTATCAAAATCTCAGCAAGTTATCTTAAGGATATCAACAAACTGCTTCTCAGATGGAGAGGCAGAAGACCCAGGACAGCCAACACAATATTGTAAGGGAAGAACAAAGTTGGAGGACTGACACACACAACTTCAAGATGTACTGTAAACCTAGAGTAATCAAGACAGTGTGGTATTGGTGAAAGAATAGACAAACAGATCCAGAGAATGGAACAGAGGGCCCCAAAACAGACCCCTATAAATATAGTCAACAGATCTTCAACAAAGAAGAAAAGGCAATACAACAGAGAAACAATGGTATCTTCAACAAATGATGCTGAAACAACTAGACAATCACGTGGAAAAGAAAAAAAAAAGAATTGAGACACAGACCTCACACCCTTCACAAGAGTTAACTGAAAATAGAACACAGACCTAAATGTCAAACTCAAAACTATGAAACTCCTAGAAGATAACATAGCAGAGAAAATCTAGTTGACTTTGGGTCTAGTGATGACTTTTTAGATAAAACATCAAAGGCACAATCTATGAAAGAAATAACTGACAAGCTGGACTTCATCAAAGTTAAAAACGTCCACTTTGCAAAAGACAGTATCAAGAGAATTAGAAGACAAGCTACAGCCTGGAAGAAAATATTTGCAAAAGACATATCTATGAAGGACTAGTACCCAATATGTACAAAGAACCCTTCAAAATCAACAAGGAGAAAATAAATAACCTGATTTAAAAATGGGCCAAAGACCTTAACAGACACATCACCAAACAGATACAGAGATAGCAAATGACCATGAAAAGATGCTCTGCATCATATGTCACCAGGGAAATGCAACTTAAAAGAACAATGAGATAGCACTACACAACTATGAAAATGACAAAAGCCCCAAATGTTGACAGCACCAGGTGCTGGTTAGGATGTGGAGCCACAGGAATTCTCATTCACTGCTGGTGGGAATGCAAAATAGTACAACCACTTTGGAAAGCAGTTTGGTGGTCTCTTATAAAACAAAATGTATCCTTATCATACAATCCAGCAATCACATTCCTTGGTATTTACCCAAAGGGGTTGAAAACTCATGTTCATGCAAACTCTGCACATTGATGTTTATAGCATTTTTATTCATAATTGTCAAAACTTGAACCAAAATGTCCTTTAGTAGGTGGATGGATAAACAGTGGTACATCCAGACAATAGAATATTTTTCAGCACTAAACATCAATGAGCTACCAAGCCAGGAAAAGATATGGAAGAACCTTAAATGTATGCTACTAAATGGAAGAAGGCAATCTGAAAGGGTTGCAAACTGTGTGATTCCAACTACATGACATTCTGGAAAAGGCAAAACTGTGGGAGACAGAAAAAAGATCAGTGGTATCAGTCGTTGCCAGGACTTAAGTTGGGAGGAATGAACAGACAAAGCACAGAGGATTTTTAGGCCATGAAAATATCCTCTATGATACTATGATGGTAGATCCATGTCATTATACATTTGTTAAAACCCACAGAATGTAGAACACCAGAGTGAACCATACCATAAACTGTGGATTTAGGGTACTTATGATGTGTCAATGTAGGTTCACCAGTTGTAACAAAAGTACCACTCTGGTGGTCCTTGCCACATCCAAGGTCATCTACGTTTTTCACTATGTTATCTTCTAGGATTTCTATAGTTTCACATTTCACATTTAGGTCTTTGATCCAAATTTTAGTTAATTTTGTGAAGGGTATAAAGTTTGTGTCTGGATTCACTTTTTTGCATGTGGATGTCCAGTTGTCCCAACACCATTTGTTGAAGAGACTATTGTTTTTCTATTGCACTGCCTTTTCTCCTTTGTCAAAGATCTGTTGTTGTTATTTATAGGGCTCTATTTCTGGGCTCTCTATTCTGTTGCACTGATCTTCTTGTTTCTTCTTTCACTAATCCCACACTGCCTAGATTTCTGTAGTTTAATACTAAGTCTTGAAGTTCAATAGTACCAGTCCTCCAACTTTGCTCTTTCCCTTCAATACTATGTTGGTTACTCTGGGTTTTGCTTCTCTCTATAAATGTTAGAAGTCATTTGTCAATATCCTTAAAATAGCTTGCTGGGATTTTGATTAGGATTGCATTGAATCTATGGACTAAGTTGGTAAGAATGGACATCTTGACAACTTCTCTTTCTTTGAATGAGTAAATTGATTCTTGCTGAGAAATTATTAAATGGTACAGGTGCAGGAAACAACCAGTAGTCTAAATGCCACAGCTGCTTTTGCCCAATCTGGATTTTTAATTTAATGTGCTTACAAAGTCTTAGAATGAATGCCTACATCTGTAACAACATCAATCCATATGGCCTTGGTAATAGTAGCTTGAGCCCTTAAACAGTTTCCCACTCCCGGAATTTTGATGAATGCCAGAAGCATGTAAGATATTTCACAGGCACTAATGCTAATTACAAAAGGGTCAACAAGAAAGGGAAGGAGTGTTAGGAACCAAGATATAAGAGCAGGAGTTGTGAAAAACAAGTGATAAAAGACAACTTAAATACAAGAAACTTTGGGAAACTAACACCCAATAGTAAAGGCCAATAAAAAGACCCAGCACAGAACCTGCTCTCTGTTCTTTACAGAGAGCAAGACAAATTTGACTGCAAAATAATCCCCGCATGTTCATGCTGATTAGTTTCAGAATGTTGGTATAGTCCCAAAACCAAAAGGCTAAGAATCTAACTATTAGTATATGTGGATAAATCATAAAATGACACAAAAGGCATAAAATAAGTACTATTAAGAGCTGCTTTCTAAAAATTGACAAAATATATTTCAAATTCAACTTGTTCTCACCATATTTAAGTTCTCCAGGTCACATCCATATATCATAAACAAGATATCACGGCAAATCTTACCAATAGTCTTCAGTGGACACAGCCTTGAACCAACAAATCTTTTAAATGAGGTATTAGGTAGGAAGTCTTTGTTGCCCCAAAAAGCCTGTAAAACAAATTTACTTTATTCATATTTGAAAGACCAAAAGAAATGGTGCAATGAGTTCATTATATTTATAATCAAATGCACAATGTCTCACATTAGTTTAAAACATTTAAATTAGAGGGGTGCCTAGGTGGCTTAGTCGGTTAGGTGGCTGACTCTTGATTTTGGCTCAAGTCATGATCTCAGGGTCGTGAGATGGAGTCTCGTGTTGGGCTCCACACTCAGACAAGTCTGCTTGTCCCTCTCCCTGCCCCTCCCCCCACTCGTTCCTGCATTCTCTCTCTTTAAAACAAATAATTAAATAAAATCTTTAAAAAAAATTTAAACTAAGGACAAAACTTGGAAGCAGGAGATAGAGGTAAGTTGACTACTGGATTTTCCTTCACAATGAGATGTCCAAAGGTATTATAAGTAAAATCTTATTTCTTTGTAAAAACAAAAGAAAGAATCCAGTGTCGTTGAAACCAGAAAATTAAATTCATACAAACATAGTCAAGACTTTTTATTTTGAAAGGACAGAATCATTGTCATTTTGGATTATCAACTATGTGAAGGAAAGGAATAACATACCTTTATCACTGACTTCCATTTGTATGCCCTTTTAATTAAAGGGCTCTTTGAGTATTTAATAGAAAAAACTGGAGCTAAGGCAAAAAATATTTTGATTCTTTTGGCTATCTTTGGTATTGTGGAAAACGTTATGAAAGCTGAAAGAAAATAAGACAGAAATGAACTATTCTTACACAATTAGTAGCATGTAAGAAATGACATCATGACAAGTAAGAGTAAATTCAATATGCTATGACCACTTAATTGACTCATTCATTTCTTAATTCCCTTATCAAACATTTATCGATCACCCAGTATGAGACATGCATATTGATCACAATAGCATACTGATGATTAATATTAAAAACAATGTCTAGGGTGCCTGGGTGGCTCAGTTGATTAAGCAACTGCCTTCGGCTCAGGTCATGATCCTGGAGTTCCTGGATCAAGTCCCACATCAGGCTCCCTGCTCAGCAGGGAGTTTGCTTCTCTCTCGGACCCTCCCCCGTCTCATGTGCTCTATCTCTCTCTCAAATAAATAAATAAATAAAATCTTAAAAACAAACAAACAAACAATGTCTAGGCCATAAATAATGATAAATTAACACTAAAAGAGTCTTATAACCCCACAGTTGAGAAATCAGAAACAATACTGAACATTTCTATAACTGGCAATGCTGAAAATAAGTTAGTGAGCTTTTCTGATATTTGAATCTTACACTTTAGGTGAGAGATTCAATACATGTCAAATTGTTTCAACATTTAATTTTAATATATTTTGAAACATCCTTGCCTTCTTGTACAGGAGATAACCAAACACTAGTTTGTATTTTAGTGTTAGTTTAGAGTTATTAATATGACAAATAGTTTTCCCCTTTATGACATCTTATCAAGCTACATTCTTGCACATCTCTATTTTTATAGCTTTTCTGTTTTCTGAGTTCTAAGAAGGCAAACAACCAAAGAATCATATAAGATATTATGAGTCGGTAAACTCTAGCACATAACCCACTTTTTTTTATTTAATAATTTTCCAAGATTCCTGGTTCCAGATAACTGAACAGCTGGAGAATCCAGACTCCAAGTCATGCACATGGTTAATAAATGTCAGAGAAAAGATCTATGGAAAACTGGATTAGACTGTTATTCAACACACTTTTTTTAAAGCAGGAAGTGGATTATTCCTATAAGAAAATGATCATTTTCAGCCTAGAAAAGACTCAGTGAATACTGGCTGCTATTTTAAAATGTCTTTGTAACTTCCACAGTAGAAAGAGTGGGAGTAAGAAGGTTTACCGCACCATGTAAGAGAATTATGTTGGGTTTTAGAGAATTTTTTTCTTTTCTGAAAGTGAAGTTGTCACACATTAGATAGAAGCATTGTTGTGAGCTGACAGAATTTCTTTTCTAGTCTCTTTAAACATATGAAGACTTTGCTTATCTAAAGTTTAATCTGTCCTAAATGCATAAACATAAATGGCCTTCTCATGTCTCTCACTCATGAGGTCCTATGCCACACTTAAATGACCATAACAATAAGTATGAAATTTCTATTTGTGGAACAAGTTATAGTTATGATTTCACTTTGATCCCAAGATGGATATCCAACTTCTGAACACTTGGAAACAAAGACAACTGCCAACAACCTGTTATTACAATGAGTTCTTTGTGACTGGAGAAGATAAGGTAGAAGTAAGGAGGGGGTGAGCTTCCAGGGCCCGGCTGTGGGACGCTCCTCTCAGAGCTCTGCTTTGTGTCACTTGTAGCTCGGGGAGGTTGCCCACGTCCTTAGGAGGTGTGTCTGCAAACTCTACAACAGTCATTGTGGACTATAGCGACAATCTTTCTGGCCATACCAATAGTGGTGCCCTGGGAATGACCTATATAAAATATTTCCTCTTGTCCCGTGTGCTTCACGATGAAGTCAATGGAGGCTGGGAGGTCGTATTTTGCCATCTCATCAAAACTACAAAAGAGAAAGGGAAGTTGAAATCCCTTGCTTCTAATGTGATGCTAACACTTGAAGATGATGAATAGGTAAGTGCATGAAACAATTTTCAACTCTCTTTAGCTATTATCAAGAAGTTATGAGGTGCCTGGGTGGCTCAGTTGGTTAAGCATCTTGACTCTTGGTTTCAGCTCAGGTTGTGCTCTCACGGTTATGAGATCGAGCCCTCATCAAGCTCTGCACTCAGTGTGGAGTCTGCTTGAGCTTCTCTCTCCCTCTCCCTCTGCCCCTCCCCCCAGTCGTACTCTCTCTCTCTCTCAAATAAATAAATAAATCTTAAAAAAATGGAAGTTACATGGCATAATGTATCTACTGAATAAAGACTTAAGTGAGAACACAAAGTCAAGAAACTAAAATAGTCCCATGATAGTCTTATAAAGATGCTGTTTGTTTATTCTACATACAGGGAGATAAACTAATACAGGTTATGGAACAAAACAATGGTTAAAGGAAGGGTGGGGTTAGCCAATAAAGGTTAATACTGAAAAACAAGAAACATGCTTAAGATCAAACAATCACTCTTTATTTTCAAGCAAAAATTGATGTAAATTGTTATGGTCTGTTAAAAGACCTGATTGAGAAAAGATACTTCTATTCTACTTTATTTCATTCAAACACACAAAAAAATTTGACACACTTATAAAATACAATGAAACATTACTTGATATTGTTTGTACCTGAAGGCCCAGAATTCTTTGGAATTTGTTTTGAGGTATGTGTGTTTCCTGGACCAGGTAGTCCCTCTGCTGTTCCCCATCCATACGTCAAAACCAGCATCTGCTAGAATGAAGCCCAGGCTGTTGTTGGGAAGATTAGAAATCCAGCTGCTGGCAGATGTAAATAAACCATGTTGCAAGTATACAACAAGCCTCTGAGCTAGAAAAAAAAAATGCAGAGAATTTCTTTTTAAATGTTGTATTATCTGCATAAATATCTCATCTGAAATTCAATCTTTCAAAACATGACAGTTTGAAGTTTTAAAAATATTTTTTTAATTTTATATTGTATAAGTAGGGTAAATTATTAATGTTTAATCTCATTGTATGTCAGTTGTTTAGCACAGTTTACAAAGAGTTTTTTTCAAATGACCAAGTGTACAATTAGGTTATGTCTCACTTAAATATATAAACTTTTAAGATCAGAACATTCAAATATCTAATAGTAATGTGAGCACTCATATACATTTTAATTTAATTTAATTTAATTTAATTTAATTTAATTTAATTTCAGAGAGGGAGAGAGCAGGGGGCGCAGAGAGAGAGGGAGAGAGAGAATCTCAAGCAGACTCCACGCTGAGTGTGGAGCCCAGTGTGGGGCTTGATCTCACGACCCTGACTGAAATCATGACCTGAGCCAAAACCAAGAGTCAGATACTCAACTGAGCCACCCATGCTCCCCTCATATGCATTTTAAATAACACATTACATAAAATATTATATTTTGCATGATTTTTCCACTCTTCCATTTCATAAAATGATTTTATAATCACATTTTCCCAGATACATTCAGTATAGGTGTCATCATTAGAACCACTGTTAGTTACCTAACCACCTAACTGAATTCCCAGAACCCTAATTACACTTCCAAGGTTTTTGAGAAACAACACCTTTTGAATAATGTAAGTGTGCTCTTTAGGAACTTTGTTTAAGCCCCAAGTTGTCATTTACACATAATAATACACATCATTGTCATCTACTGCGGTGATGCTGTGGGTGTCCCGCACAGATCCACTAGCTAGGCTGATGCTCATACACTCCAGCTATCATGTTACCAACTGTACACAGTGGTTCCTTCTCAGGAGAGGTACTTTCGGCATTATTGGCTAAATAGGAGCTCCCACACTGGAGGAGGAAGGAGACAAACTCCTCTCTGACCAGCTGACACAAAAGTACAAAAAGCTGACTCCCTTGCTTCAGGGTTGGACCAGCTCTGATGTACTTCATGCTCTGTATTTCCCCAAGAGACCAGGGTGAGGCTAGAATCCAGTTGAGACCACATATTTGCTTAATTTCTTCCTCTGCTCTCTTCTGTTTCCCCCATTTCCTTTTTCCTGAGATCCCTTCAATAAATCATGCGCACTCAAATCCCTGTCACAAGCTCTGTTTCTAGGGAACCTGACCCAAGAGTTACTACTAAAAGTGACCAAGGAAGCAGACATTTGTGGATGGGATTGTGGAGTTGGATTACTTGCTGGCTGGCTGGTTGACATTGAGGACCGCACCATTGACATCATTAATTGTAGGGAGAGTACTGACAGAACTTTGCATGTTGTAGCACTCCAGGGGCTAAAACACTCATGTTTCCTGTGATGGCACAGGATAGGAATGACTGGCTTGTGCAGTATCTCTCACAGTTAAGAGGTACAGGGGAAATAAGATTATGAGGTCTGGGTAGTGTTGGGCCTGCTGAGGGAGAAGAGAGATTGTACACTAACAGAGCTACAAAATCTGGAAAAGTATGCCTAAGTGTTGGATAGAAAAGAAAGGAAAGGTATATATATATTTTACATATATATATATATCTTATGTAGGATATATATATATATCCTATGATGCAAGGTTTTACACACTGGCAATGGTTGAGAGGTCCATCTCAACACTCTGCCAAGATTTCTCAGAAGCTTAGAAAGTTCCAGAATAGCAAAGCAAATTGGGAAGGAAAAAGATACAGAGGCTCAAGACATAGGTATGCTAATCTAATAAATAAGACCAGAACACCCACCAATTGATTAATGTGCCTTGGCTGAGCCCAGAGGACATTTCATCTAGTAGGTTGAAAAAAATACACTGATGAGGGTATCAGCAAAATTTAAAAACTCAGAAGTAGAGAACTTCGACTTCCATCTTGGGATGTATAATAAACTGGAAAAGTATTGCTCCCACTCTTATAAAAAACACAAACAAACAACTATGTTCAAATTCATGAATTTTAAAAAACTCACCAAAGAGCTGATTCACAGAGCAAAAATCGGGCCTCAAGTCTGAGGAGAGACCGGTGCTTACGAGGAGAGAGGAGACATAAGTCCTCCCTTATGCGGGAGACACAATCTCAATAGATTAGGTAGAATAATTGAAGAATCAGTGAAGGCCAGGGATAAGCTCCAAGGACAGTGTGAAAGACAGGGTTTGATAGAAAAGGAGGAAGTCTACAACCTCCTGCAAGCTCTGTCCCATGAACCCTACATGAACTTCACGGAAAAGATTGGGAAGAGTCTTGCCAAAGTGTCCATTGTGGTGCAGATCTGTGAGAGGGAACAACAGTTATTACAGGAGGGGCAAGACGCTCTCCTCTGATCCTTTCCCCAATTGCCTTCCAGAACAATACTCAGTCACGGTGGCAAGGAGGGCACAGGGAAGGCAAGGAGCACTACATAGGATACACTAACCAACCAAAAGTGCATAGGATGTCTCAACCAGTAGATGTCAGCCAGACACTGGTCTTAACCACCCCAGTGCTGTGCTGTGGGCTCACAAAAAGAGTAGCCATGATGAGAGAGATATAGGCTAACCTGGCCCCCCAGTGTGGGTAGCTCACCAAGGCTACTAAGAAAGTATGTCTGACCTGCCTGCAAAGGAAATCTCACAGGGTACCATGCCCTCGAGGAGACCGAACCAGCCACTTGGAGACCAGTTGGGGGCACCAGACCCTTTGTTTCCTGGAAAGGGCAACAATTCACTATGACAGGGATTGAGATATATTTTGGCTATGATTTGCCTTTCTTTCCACACAGGACCACAGCCTGCCAGCACTACTGTTCAAGAGTTCATGGAGTGTCTGGTCTATAAATATGGAGCCCCTCATGACATACCTCAAATAAAGGGATTCACTGCAGGTCAAAGATGGTGCATTCATCAGCATTATGGCCTTGGAAGGCCACTGGTCTTATCACACAACTACCATCAAAAGGCTGCCAGCCCAACCGAGCAATGAAACCACCACCCAGTGGAGATGCCATCTGGGAGATGACATCCCGTAAGCATGGGTCCTATCCTAAGGACTCATTATATACCTTACACAAATGGCCAGAATATATTGCTACTTCCTCTATTGGTAGAACACATGAGCCTGAGAAAAAGAGGGGTAGTATTAAGACTCACTATCATCCAGTAATTCACTCCAGGGCTTATACTTTCTGTCCTCACAATTTAAGGCTCTATCGACTAGAGGTCCTTGTTCCCAGACAGAAAACACTTCCACCAGTTCACGCAGTAACTAATAATAAAGCTATGACTGCAGGCTGGCTAGACTTTGAGCTCCTCATGATAGAAGACCGTGGGGCGGGACGGGGTGGCAAAGAAAGGAATTGCTATATTGGCAGGAATAATTGGCCCTGATCACCATGACGAGGTAGGGCCTCTGATACAGAATGAAGATGGAAAAACATATTTGGCATTCACGTGATTCACTGGGACATCTTTTGTTACTCCCATGCCTTGCTTTACCTGTGAAATGTACAAGGACTGCAACCATGACCTGTTTTGGGCACAGTAGCCCTTCAGGATAAGGGCCTGGCTTGCCACATCAGGGGACACGGCTGAGAGGGAGAGGATTCTATAGTGGGTAGTAGAGGTCAGAATTTATGAGTACCAACCATGGCGTTAGGGTCAGTTGCAATGGCAGATGTCATACTCTGTTCCACTCACCTTCCTCTTGCAAGTTTCCCCAGGAATTCTGACCTATCCAAGTTCTGGAAAACCTGTACCTGGATGAAATAAGCTTCATGTGAAAAACAAATGGATCTGAGTAATGCAAGAAGTGCACTCTGTTATTTTGGTGCCCCACCTACACTTCCTTTCCTAAGCAGGTGGAGCATGCTCCTAGCTGTTGTGGGTGTTGGCTTTCTAAGTGTTCATTATTGCCCCTCTCTCTGTAGGATTACCCCCCAGGCAAATGGCAATTGCCTCACCTATGAGAATACACCTCTTTCTACAAGAAGCCTTAAGCAATGACTAACTGCTGAGGCAATGCAAAAGGCTAGCTGCCTAACTTCAAGGCAGTACCACTTCGGTATTGCAGTTCCTGGATCCATGCGCTCCCCTGAGATCAGACTCCAGCTGGACTTAGCTGAGGCACATCCTTCCTTAGCTCCTTCCCCTGCCCTCCCCTGATTTCCACACAACCCTGAAGCACTTACTTTATCTTTAAATTACCTTTCAATATTTTATCACAGTATTCATGATACTAGGTCATACCATGAAAAATGATTACTATAATTATGTTAAATATATGTTAACATTTTCTGTCTAGTAGCTCTGACCTTTATAAGGATCCAAAATTACATTGATTGAGGTTGTTTCAAATTAGTATCTTCCATGAAATATACTTTAATGTTTAAAATGAGAACTTGAGAGGGTATTTTATAATATGAGAAACACTCTTTTCAGGGAGAAAATCTAAAGAGAAAACTAAAAAAAAAAAAAAGGCTGGCTTTTATTTGAGCAATTAGATGAATAAAGAAAAGTAATCCACTACAGATTTTGCTAGTAAGTGGCAGATACAGGATTATAACCCTAGGGACAAATTCGAGTGCTTTATTTTTTTCACCTCATTTGCGGATAATGATGTACCTATTGTTGGTTAAAGAACCAGAGCTTGCTACCAACCTGATCTCTTCGTTATTACTAGAAGAGACAGCCGTAAAGACAAGGAAGGACTTTTTACCAGCCGTTTTTCAAACCTATGTTACCATGTTACCATTTCTAACCCCTCCTGAAACAAAGAGATTGGAGAGAATCAACAGAAATGAGTAAAGTGACCCACAAAGAACACTTGGAACGGCTTAATTTCCATCACACTCTAAAACCATCTTGTGAACAGGAAGCCAGGGGAGAACCTGGCTCTCTTCTAGTGACATGTAGAGACATGTAGGAGAAGTTAACTATACACTTAATCTTTAAATTCTTTTCTCGTCTGAAACTCACTAAGAAGAAATGGAAGAGTTAAGGCCTTCAGGGCCCAGTCACCAAATTTTTCTGAATTGAATATTACCTGAACTGTCATTGTTTGTCTTCCCATAAGGAATTCTATAAAGGCCAAGGATGTAACCATCTTCAGTTACAATATCATATACTTCATCTGGGTAGCCCCAATAGGAAATAATTTGGCTCTACATAAAGAAAAAGGAAGCCTTTTAGGATACAATTTCTGGTCAGTTAATGGAACCTGATAATAATCTAACCTATTAATGTAATAATGGACCTCTCAACCTCAGGACTATTTCTTCTTACTAGTTCCCTGATTCATTCAGTAATCGATATTTTAGAATATCTACTAAGCATCAATCTTATACATTACTTTTTTCCTAACTCTAATCACTCAAACTTTTACCTACTCAGCCATATACAATTTAAAAATATATACTTATCCACAAATGTTTGCATGTCTTTGCTTATAGCTAAGCTTATATCTGGAATTTGTATGTGTGTACATGTATACAAAAGAGAATTTATAGGTCCTCCATAAAGGTATTTAAATGTATGTATATATGTTTTCATCTAGGGACAAAATAAGGGTGAAGGGGAAACTGTGAGCTACAGAATAGTAAATGAATATATAGACTGCAGATCTATTAAAATAAAAGCTCCCCCCTCCCCAATTAAAGAGTAGCATTCCCTGTTATTTCGGCAGCTTAGCATTTACTTCCTAGCAACTTACAATGTTCATGTTCGCTTCAGGGTTCCTAGCTCTTCGATGTTGAAAGGCACCTTGAATAGTCCCAAGAATTAAAACGAAAGACATCACTTTGAGAAGGTAGGACATTTGGGATCTACATATAAAAGGAGATGTTAATACTATTAAAATTGCAGGAGGTGATAGCATTTGACTGTTTAAATAATTCTGTGAGTTAGGGAATATTACCATTTTCAGGTAAGAAAACCGAAGCTTTGAAAAATTAAGTAACTTCTCTAAGGACACACAATGTATAATTGGCAGTCAAGATTCTGATTCATTCCTTCTTCATTCCCAGATCCATACTTTTCCAACTACCCTCTTTTATAGCACAAACCCCTCTTTGATGTCTCCATTATAGAATTGTTAAGCCCAGTTCCAAAAGCTTTATCATATACTGCAAGTTAATTGATACCTGAATTAATGATGTAATGATATTCTTACCAGACTAACACTTGTATTTTTTTAAGGATTTTATTTATTTATTTGAGAGAGAGTGTGTGTGAGAGAGAGAGAGGGAGAGAGCATGAGAAGGGGGAGGCTCAGAGGGAGAGGTAGATGCCCCACTGAATGGGGAGCAGATGCTGGACTCTGGGATCATGACTTGAGCCAAAGGCAGATGCTTAACAGACTGAGCCACCCAGGTGTCCCTGGACTAACACTTGTTTTAAAGTATGGTTAAAGGTTGTTGGGTTTTAGGGAAGGAAGGGGGATGGGTGAGGAGATTAGGAAGCTTGGATAATTTAACTTTTATCCAGCCTCTCAGTGTCTAGATTTTATTGCATATAGAAATGGGAGTTTTGGGAGTATCCTAGATTCTGGGAAGCCAGGACTCTTAAGTTCTTTCTAGAAAAGCAAGAAACCAGGGAGCCACTGAGGTCACTACTCACATTCTCTCTCTCAAAACATGACTTATGGATCTCATGAACCTTGTACCTTATGCCTGGAAGGACATTATGCAGAGTTTATAAAATGTCCAGCTCTTCCACTCACCAGCTTTGTGACTTAAAGGAAGTTACTTCCCCTCTCTGAGCATCAGTTTCTCTACCTATACCATGTGAATAATATAGCTACTTCTCAGGGTTGTTATAAAACTTAAAGTTGATAAATGTGATAAGATGCTTTGTTAGTAGAATACCAGTCATATAGCTAATCTTTAATGTATATTAGATTTCCTCATTTAAGAGAACTACCTAATACCAGCAACTTAGAGAAGTAATTTACATGCAAATAATCGATATGTCTCACTTCTATATTTTGTTAGGCTAGTCTCCAGTGCAATAATTTAACAACTTGTTACAAAGTATCTAGATTTGTAAGTTTTAAACTATATTTATTTTTTAAAATGTACTTTCTAATCGAAAGCTTTAATTTATGGAAACTGGACTTCTCCCCTTTTGGTCTAGGTTTGTATTATACTTGGTATAATATGTGTGCTCTTTAGTGAAGGCAAAAAGCAAATTTTAAAACATTATTACCAAGGTTTTCTACCAAAGAAGAGAGAGAAATTTGCTAATGTGTTTAGGTAAAACATTGATAACATGTGTAGTCACAATCTAGATATTCCTCTTTGGATGTGTTCTTGGAAAAGTGCTATCAGGTAGCAAGGCTACTTGGTTCTCTGTCCTCATGGGCTATCTCAAATAGTTTCGTGGAGACTATCTGTTTTAACTGGATTTTGAAGCTTACTGAATATACAGTGCTTGTTGCCTAGCAGAGATTTTAAAGTACTTTGCCTTATGTCTGGAACATGTGCAGTATTTATCATCTAAAATGAGAAATTTTTGAAAATGAAATGACATTAATAATTAACTTGGGAAACGGACATAACTGGACTGCCCTAGGCAAGTAGGACTTATGGTCACCCAATTTTTATCCTTACTTCCCCAAATTTTGGTAATTTTACCCTGATAAAGTACAAGAGAAGGATGGAACTTTGGCATATGGTTGCTGATGCTCTAACAACCACTAAAGGGAAAAGTTTCAACTGAATGAAATTTTTTTTTTAAAGATTTTATTATTTATTTAACAGAGAGAGAGAGAGACACAGCGAGAGAGGGAACACAAGCAAGGGGAGTGGGAGAGGGAGAAGCAGGCTTCCCGTCGAGCAGAGAGCCCGATGTGGGGCTCGATCCCAAGACCCTGGGACCATGACCTGAGCCAAAGGCAGACGCCCAACGACTGAGCCACTCAGGTGCCCTACAACTGAATGAAATTATTAACTTTGTGTTTACGGTGATTTACCAACTGTATAAAGCAACTAGTGAAAAAGTTCACTGAAATCTAGATCAGTGCTGTTCAATATAAGGCATCTGAGCCCTTGAAGTGTAGCTACCGAGGAACTGAAACTTGAATTTCATTTAAATTATTTTTGATTTATAAACTAAGACAGTGTAAAAAAAAAATACTTTTCCCCTAAACACAACTTCATTGTTTTGGTAAGATTGTATGTCACTTGAATTGTTGCATTATGTAAGATATTGCTGTGCTGTTATATTTCACATATGGGGTATATGTGATTTTTTCCAATATTGCGTGAAAATACATCACCTGTCTAGTCAGTGTCAGCAGATTTTATTCAGGTTGAGTAATTATTTCTTTTATTCACTGATGTAACATAGTAACATGTTTGAGCATTTTATGCAGATAGCATGAATTACAGTAGTACCCATATAAATCATAGTTGGTATTTAAATTAAAATACTTATTTCAGTTAATTACTTGTTAGCTTATAAATTAAGTATAGACAATTTTTTAAGTTAAATGACAGCATAGTAGTGATGCAAAATTGAGTGGAGGTGTAGAAGCTAGTATTACACCAGATCAGTAAAGGGAAAAATAAGACAAAAGAGTATGTCTCCACATTCAAAATGAATGGCAATTATCATTTGCCACCACAGAGCAAAATCTAAAGTTATTTTTTCTTCTAATAAAGAAATATTAAAGATCATAAACAACGTTAAGAGACATTTTCAGGAAATATATAGTGAATTTGAGAAAGAGTTTCTTTTTTTTTTTGATAAAGAGTTTCTACACAAAAGTCAAAAAAGAATCAGTAAAATTGTCTGACATCAGAACTTAATGATGAAAAAACATTTCTAAAGCATTTTTAACAGAATCTGAGCTTGTAAATTTAGACTTCTGTAAAATGCCTTGGATTCTTGCACAAGAAAAGAAAACTGTCTTTAGATGGTGAAATGCTAAACAAAAATTATTACAGTTGGGGAAATTTTGTTACTAAATTATGAGGGAAAGCCTAAAAATGATATTTTACAAGTTGAAGAAAGATCTTCAATTAAGCCACCAAACCATTGCCTGTACAATACCCAAACTTCCTAAGAATATAAAAATCGATTGATTCAAAATTTGAAGATTTCATGTACCTTTCTTTACTTTTAGATGAGTTTGCAATGTTATAGGCAGTACAGTTAATATTTTGGATAATTTTGTGTTGGATTTCCAGCTTTCCAGAGAAATGTCATTTTAAGAGTTGTAAATAAGTAAGCTCATAGTGCAAATATTTTAAAAATCTTTTACATCTCTTAAATAATTTCAGCTAGATATGAAAAATATTAGTTTCTATCACAATGGATAGTGCTCCAGCTATCTTGTTTCAGAAATCCAGATTTATTAGAATTTTCTCATATTTTTAGTTTTCCAAAACTTATTGGCAGTTCTATCACATGTATTTTTTAACAAATTTTTAATTGTGGTAAATAAATACACATAATGAAATTTACCATGATAATCGTTTTAAGGTGTATAGTTCAATAGTGTCAAGTATATTGACATTGTTTGGCAACCAATCTCCAGAAATTTTTCATACCCGCTGAACAACTCCCCATTCCTCCCTGATCCCAGCCCCTGGCAACTCCCATTCTATTTGTCCTGTGAGTTTCATTATTCCATTTACCTTATGTAAGTAGCATTATACAGTATTTGTCTTCTTGTGACTGGCTTATTTCACTTAGCATAAATGTCTTTAAGTTTCCTCCATATTGTAGCCTGTGCCAGAACTTCCTTTGTTTTTAAGGCAGAATGATATTCCATTATGTGTGCATATCATATTTTATCTGCTTATCTGTCAACGGACATATAGGTTACTTCCATGTATTGGCTATTGAGGCATAGGCTATGAACACAGGTGTACAAATATCCGTTTGAGTCCCTGATTTCAATTCTTTTTTTTTTTAAGATTTTATTTGAGAGAGAGAGATAGTGAGAGAGAGCATGAGCAGGGGGAGGGGGGAAGAGGGAGAGGGAGGGGAGAAGCAGGCTCTCCGCTGGGCAGGGAGCCCGATGTGGGGTTCGATCCCATTACCTTGGGATCATGACCTGAGCCGAAGGCAGCCACTTAACCGACTGAGCCACCCAGGCGCCCCCCTGTTCTCATAGTTCATAAACCTAATGCTTACAAGACAGTCTTTAAAGAAGTTGCATTGTGTTGATGATTCATGAGAACAAAATAGTCTTATTTGTTAAAGTATATTTTTTAAGAAGATATATTGCGATTCTTTTTCAAACAAAATGAACTCATGAAAATCATCATATCCAACTCATTAATTGATATGGGAATCGCCTGCTTTCAATTCTTTTATATATGTACCCAGAAGTGGAATTGCTGATAATAGGGTAGTTCTGTTTTTAACTTTTTGAGGCACTGCCTTACTCTTTTCCACAGTGGCTGTACCACATTGCATTCCCATCAACAGTGCACAGGCGTTCCAATTTCTCCACATCGTCAGCAACACTTGTTATTTTGTGTTGTTTTGTTGTGGTTTTATTGGGATAAGGTATATGTAACATCGAATTTAGCATTTTAACCATTTTTAAGGGTACAGTTCTGTGGTATTAAGTACACTCGTGTTGGTGTATATCCTTCGCTGCCATCAGTCTCTAGACCTTTTTCATTGTCCCCGAATGAAACTGTATCCATTCAATGCTAACTCCACATTCTTCTCTCCCTCAGGCCCCTGGTAACCATCATTCCACTT